TTGCATTGAGATTCATGCTATACCTTGAGATTTATGCATATTGTTGAAAAATTTGCTCACGATGTATCAAACAACTATAACTTCTTTTGTTCATTTGATTACAACAGCTTTGGTGGGACTACAACAATCACAATTAAACTAGAACTATCATAGGTAGGGTTCTAGAGTTGTAGTTGGGCTACAATAATAGTTGATGGTGATTGGAGATCACTAATCAGTGTTGCAATTCTTTTCAACAGTCATGCTTTAGTTATTAGTTTATTCTTTTTTTCATACATCAGGTGAAAAATATGAGTCAAATTATAGTTTTAGAGAGAGAAATTTTATTAAATTTAACCAAAAATTAAAAAAAAAAAACATTCAATCAGACTTTTACGTTATTTTTTCAGCTCTAACATTCAAGTTTATATAATACTTCAAAGATTCCAATCATACTTTCAAGCGTTGATCGAAACTTGTTTGGCTGAGTAATGCATTGGATTCTCTTGATATGGCCAAATCGGAACGGCCGACGATGTGCAGAACAGAGGAAGCCATCCTCACTCTCCTCCAAGGCTGCAACAGTATGCACCGCCTGCGCAAAATCCATTCTCAGGCCATTCTCCGCGGCATTGACAAACGCTCATCCGTTGCCGGAAAGCTCCTATCTTTCTGCGCCATTTCTTCCGCCGGCAACCTCTCTTACGCCCTTCTTCTCTTCTCCCGCCTCCCGGACCCTTCTACCTCCAACTGGAACTCCCTCATCCGCGGCTTCTCCATTTCCCCTTCATCCTCTCACTCCATCTCCCTCTACAACTCCATGGTGTCCTCTTCCTCGTCTGCTCGCCCTGATGCCGTCACCTTCTCCTTCCTCCTCAAAGCCTGCGGCCACAATGCGGCTACAGGAAAGTGCAGGGAGGCTCATGGAAGCATTTTTCGATTAGGGTTTGAAGCAAACATAATTGTTTGTACGAATCTCTCCCGTGCGTATGCGGATAATGGAAATGTGGGAGATGCGAGAAAGGTGTTTGATGAAATGCCTGAAAAAGATCTCATTGCGTGGAATTCAATGATAGCTTGTTACTGCAGGGCAGAGAAGCATGAAGATGCGCTGAAGGTTTATAAACAGATGAGGTTTTTAGGTTTCGGGTTAGATGAGTTCACCGCAGTGGGATTGCTCTCCTCATGTGCTCATCTCGGTGCATTGGAGCTTGGAGTTTGGGTGCATAGATTTGCAGAAAAAAATGGGTTTTTGGATAGAAATGTTTATGTGGGTAATGCACTAGTAGATATGTATGCGAAGTGTGGTAATTTGGAGCAAGCTTGTAATGTTTTTGAGACGATGAAGAAGCGGGACACTTTCACTTGGAACTCATTGTTATTTGGATTTGGTATTCATGGTTATGGGAAGGAGGCAATAAACTTCTTCCAACGAATGCTTATGACTGGGGTTCAACTAAATTCTGTGACTTTCCTTGGGCTGCTTATGGGTTGCAGCCACGAAGGATTGGTTGATGAAGGTTTGGAGTATTTTTATTCGATGAGCTCTAAATTTTCATTGAAACCTGATGCCAAGCATTATGGTTGTGTGGTGGATATGATGGGCCGAGCAGGGAGACTTGAAAAGGCTGTTGAATTCATCAAAACTTCATCTTTTGTAAGTGATCCGGTTCTTTGGAGGGCATTGTTGAGCGTTTGTAAGATTCATAAAAATGAAGAAATAGCAGAAGTTGCTTTTGGGAATCTCGTGGAGATGTCAGCTCATAATGCTGGTGATTGCTCTCTTCTTGCAGGAATTTATGCCTCTAAGGGAAATTCTGATGGTGTTTCGAGGATGAGGAAGATGGTGAAGGAACAGGGAATGAAGACCACACCTGGTTGGAGTTGTATAGAAGTGAAAGCTGAGGTGAGAAAGTTTGTTGTTGATGATATATCTCATTCAGACATTGAGGAAATTTACAATAAGTTAATGGAAATGATCAACAGAGCAATTGCTTTGGGTTATCCTGCAGAAAAGTTTAAGTTAATTTTGAGAGAAAAATCTCCTGAGAAGTATAAAGAATGGTTGGAACATGGAGGAAGTTTCCATAGCGAAATCCTGGCAATCGCTTTTGGACTTTTAAGTACGCCTGAAGGAATGATGTTAAGAATTGTGAAAAACTTGAGGGTTTGTATGGATTGCCATCTGCTTACAAAGCATGTTTCGAGGGCATTTGATCGAGAAATTGTTGTAAGGGATCGTGTGAGGTTTCATCACTTTAAAGATGGATCATGCTCATGCAATGACTATTGGTAATGGGAATGCCAATAGGAATCTATTGCGAGATAGCAGTGACTGTTGAAGAGGGAAAGATATGTGGAGATCTCTGGTCATTTAGCAAGATTGTAGCAAACGTTTTTAGAGGTTTTCATGCGTCAATCCAAGTGATTAGGAGGTCCTTCACTCTTCGGGTTGAGCTAAACTTAAACTAAGGTAGTGGATGATTCAAATGATAGTTCACTGTAAGTGGGCTAACCTAATCAAGTTGGCTTAGCTGCAAGGGTTTTATGGACTGATATAGACGCACATGAAGCAACAAAAGGAGTTTGCATCAAATATGGAGATCAAATCATCCAGGGATGAGGCTCATTATCATCATTGGCTCCACCTATTACAAGAAATGGACTCTGAGGTAGAGCCAAATATGCTCTAAGATAAGATCATACTTCATGAATTTAAAATCTTTTTATTTTTTTAGGTTTATTTTGCTTAAATTTGTTGGAATTTATTCTTCGAAAAAATATTTATATAAATTTAGATTATATGATAGGATTTAATTTTAATTTGGATTATATGATAGGATGTGTTTTAAATTCAGATTGTAAACGTTATCTATATGAATAGGGCATCATATACGAATTTGAGGAGGCTCTTCTCACCGGATAGAATAAAGAATTTGCTGGAGTTTACTTTCCCCAAAATAATAAAGAAGCTTTCCTTGTCGGCTCGCTAGAATGCCGCCGCAGACGAGGATGACGACCAGAATAATGGAAGGAAAGATGGAGAAAATGGAGAAGAATAGCTTGCCTTGACTTCTCCTTGAGAAAAATATGAATACCTCAAGAAATCTTCCTGAAACCTCCTTGCAACCTCCCCTTGCTCCAAGCTCTCCTCCTCAACAAATGGCAGTCTATTAGCTCAAATGAGCCCTTCCCCATGGGTTATTCAGCCATAGAAAGAAGATCCAAGGGTCCAAGGCCTTTTTCCCAATTTGGAATGGGCCCAAACAATATCTTATGCCTTATTTGGGTAAAGAACTAAGCAAAAGGGGAATGACCAGCGGTCTCGGCTGCCTCGTCGGCGAGAGTTTACAGACCAGAGGGTCAAAATTCGCGAACAGGTTCCGGTGGCGTGGCAACGCTGAGGTCGGGCATTGTCATACCACTGTTCAAAGTGTTGCATATGGAGTCCCAATTTTATCATGCCAAAAGCCCGGCGTAATTATGTCGGGCGCTCCACGCCACTTGCGAGGCGTGGTCACGCCGATCGACGAACTTGGCTCCTTGTTGAGATTTGGGTGTGGTCACGTCATATTGCAGTGTAATTATGCTGAAATCTCTGTTTGCTAACGTGGCCATGCCGCCTTCATGCATGGTCATGCCAGACCCCAAAAAAATTGGGCTTTCGGAGAATCTCACCAAGGGGGGTTTCGGGCCTCGCCTGACCTTCAAAAGATCGATTGTGAGCAGATCATGATTCTTGGACCTTCATTGGGACTGTAAAGGCGTCTCAAAAGAGTTCGAGAGGCCGAACCATCTACGTATCGTCGAGCAAAGCGGTTCCAGTATGAAATCCGTCTATTTAGACATTAGACTTAAGGTTCGAATACGGTACGTGTACCTTAGTCAACGGTTTGCTCCACCCGAATGTCCATATCAGCAGGATGCTACCTTGTTTCACAGGAATGAACGTCATCCTGGAGGATACCGGAAGCAATGTCGGCTTGGCCATGATCGACCCAGGGTACGACTATGACAGTGTATACCTCAATTACAGTGTCGTGCACTCAACGAAGATGTCTCGAGTACATATCAAAAATGGATGTCAACATCTACCTATCCCGTTTATATCGTTACTTCTAAATCGCCTTCTGCCCGGAAGGGTGTCGCAACTAAAGGTATTGGTGCAGTGCGATGCAGCCCTCCATCGGGGTCCCAAGCATCATGGTTCCCTATTCTAGATTAAAATCATTCAAATCAATTTTCTACAACTTTGAATCGCACGTTGTCCCGTTTTGCCTGTTGTTGCTCGTTCCGAACTTCCCGATGTCACGTAATTCTCTCCAGATACTGCCGCTCAAATATGTTCCCGACTCCTTCACTGAATTCTACATTGCTTCCATTCATTACAGTCTTCTGAATGTTGCATTATTCCTTCCAAGTGCTTTCGCTCGAGTTTACTCCCAATTCTTCTCTAGATCCTGTGAGTTCCAATCTGCCTAGAACAGTGACGCTGTCCTGATGTCATGAGAATGCTTAGCATAACCCTAATTGTAAACATATTAGCCCTATTTATACCCACAATATTAAATAAATAAAGATTAAATTGTTTTTAGGCGTCGGTGTAACATTACTTCCCTTCTAAAAAAGATACATTATCCTCAAGGTGGAAAAAAAAATGAAATTGCTGATGGAGAAATTTGACTTTATTGCCTATTATTCTGTCAATAAAGTTAGATGAAAAAATGGGAAGGAGTTCATGAAATTTTGCATTAAATTTTTTTCATATTTCGCTCTGTCAGATGACAAAAAGAGAAAATTGCAACTCTCTCATGCGATATTTCTCTTGGCCTTTCTCTCACGTAGGCAAATGATGCTAGAAACCACTTTCCCTCCACTGTTTCTACCTGTGAGCACTTGCCGAAAATCCTTCCAGTGAAGCCACCTCTGGCCTACTCTCCCTCTTCCTCTCCCTCTCCCTCTCCCTTGTCACCAGTGAAGCCACCACCTCACTATCTTTGTAACCCCACGCACATTCTCTCCGTTTTCTTCAAACCCACAATCCCCATTCCCTCTCTGTCCATGCGAAAATCCCTCTGTCGGAACCCAGTCGCAGGGGAGCCATCCTCCCATTGTTCTACCCTTCTTTTTCCACACACAACAACCTACACTCCAAACCCTACTGTCTTGAAGAGGGGAACTCGTACACACTCCTAAGAGCGTAATGAGGGAATGTCATATGTGACGCTCGCAACATAGTTTGTTTTTGTGATGTGTCTGTCATGACGAGTGAACATGTACATGCTCTTAAGAGCAAGACAAGGAAAATTCGTCGACGACTCACAAGAATTGATGGAGGAATATACACGTATGTGCTCTCACGTGTCCTTGTAAGTACCCCATACATGCTTCTAAGAGTGTGGTGTGTTTCAAATATTTCGATCATGGTGTCTTACGACATCGACCATATGTGCCTCTAAGGGCATAGTGGTTAGACTCGGATTTTCCGATGTTGCCCCCTTTCGTGTGGATGACACAGAGAAGTTTTTGAATTGCTATCAACATTTTTTGTGATCTGAACTTGCAAAAATACTGAAATTTGAACTGTAAAAGCTTGTAAATAACTTAAAATTTTGGCTCTATTAAACTTGCAAAATAATTCAAAATTCGGGCTCTTTTAAATTTACAAAATAATACAAAATTTGGGCATTTATACTTAAAAAATATTTGAGGTTCAAACTATGATGATTTGCAAATTAGTTTAAATATAAAATACCATAAACTTGGGGCTAAATTCAAGCACATAATGTCACTTTAAATGTCAAATAATGATTTCATGTCCTTAATTGACACCGAATCTGCAACACACTTTCATAAGTGGACAAAAGACGTGACTTGAAAATCAAAGTGAAATATTTGCATATGTTCTAATGCTATTGTACTTGTGCAAAATAACAAAATATAAATATTTTTAAATGTGCATATAATCAAATGTTTGCATTGTTATAAGGATAATTAATTATAAATTCAAAAACCCTAAATCTTAAAGTCTTCATAAAATGACGGTGAAATATCTGAGTAGTGTTTTATCTACTATTTCATCTGACTTTTGAAAATTCAACCTGCAACCTCACGATAAACTCTCCTGATTCTCATTTTCGAGGGAGGTTGGGACCATTTTGAATTTTCTGAGCTCACATGTTGATGTAATTTTATGTTTATTAAATTTGATGCTTCATTTGTAACAAGGTTATTAATGCTTTATTTGGAGCTTATAGATTGTGCTATTTTTGTTCTCATAATTTTTAATTTTTTATGCTTTCAGCCATAGTTTTCATTCTTCATTTTTTTCTAAAATTGTTTTTTAAGCAATAAATTAAAAAAAAATTTCAGTCTTTCATTTAAACTTATGCTTCTAACATCAATATATTTTTATTTTTAATTGTGATGAGTCCAATGTTTTTGAAGATTATTGTGCATACTATATATACTTCTTTCTTCTAGAAAAAAATATTGTGGAACTAATGGCTGATGTTTTCTCAATCCAGCAATTGATAATCACTATCAAAATACAAAATATTCATTGACTTACCAAACATTGCATTGCAGGAAAGACCAAATCGCAGATCATGCTGAGGAAACTGTGGGTTTGTACTCTATTTCCTGACATTTTATATGTGATGAACAGTCAAAAAGGTTGAAAAATCATGAATAATGATGGTTATGGTAGCCTTTCATGATCCCCCGTAATCATTCTTTCTAGCATTTTCTCCATCTTCCTGTATCTTTACTCCAAAACTATGCTCCTTGCTTTTCACACTCTCTCTCTCTATAAAATCCACAGTTTAAAGCTTTTGTTTGAGCTTAATTTAATCAGAAATCTTCTAAACATGCAAGATTACTGCTCCTAATTACAGACAATTGAGCATTTTTTTCTTCTTCTGTTCCATCTTCTATGTTACTTGGAGTCCAAAACACATTTCATAACTGTGTAGGTTTCTGTAACTCGTTATTCATATTAAATATCAAAAAGCTTGTTTGACAGATTGAAGCTCGAAGCAATTAAGAAGTTTAAGAATGAGTAAGGCTTTCCTCTTCTGCATCTTCTTCTCTGTTCTCTTTGCCATAACTGCCGCTATCCTTATCGTCGTACTCCGTTTTCATGGCCACCACCCAGTTGATGATGATCTCAATCACACGTCGCAGGATTTCTGTGTCGCTGATCTCAACTCAGGTAATTCTATTAATGTCTTCACACACACACACACACACACATACATACATATATATATATATATATACAATTGAATCCTTTTAAGGCGTAGGGTCTCATATTATTTATGAGATCATATAATCTTGGAGAAACCTGAATAAAGAGGGTGAAAGAATAGGATAGGGGGTGTTCTCCAGGCCTAAATTCTTCGTATCTTCGATGATCTTTCTTCGGTAGGACGAAGGAGATGGTCTAATCTCTTACTAAAATTGAGAGAGAGAGAGAGTGAGTGATCAACTGATATGACTCCAAAGATCCCTCTCCCACAAGACATGAAGAGTAGAGTATAAAATTATGAACTGTCTAGTACGAAATCTTTCAACGATTTCTTGCTGGAAAGATGGTTATGTGGATGGCAAGTGGCTCATAAATGATGATGGAACATATGTCAATCTCTTTAGCATTGATCCTTACTCTGGCTTTTTGCCAATCCCGATGACAATTGGTTGAGGTGAACTCAGCATGCGGGTCTGAAGAGGGTCGCAGTTCTTATTAAGTTGATATTTTGACACTTCAATCCGTCAAGTTAATCTGACTAGTCAATACACCAGGTGGGTTCAATGGATATGGCAAGGTATGTAATGGGCCTGATAACGGGATCTTAGCCATGCGATCCTTCAGATATCCATTAGTCGAGAATCAATCCCGAAATGCCCATTTATTCTTTTACGAGCCCATGACGACCAATAATATGTATAAATACATACATTCATACATATATGATTTTATTTGTTATTAGAGGAGAATTAATATTCTCCACCAAGTTAAAATTAAACGTTATTTCATTCAGAAGCAAACTAAAAAATTTCAATTTGTTGGGATAATTAAAGATTAATGAAATTCATAGTTTTATAATTTTGGCTTATTTCATTATTCATTGGTTGCTTGAAAAATTTTATAATGGATGGTTTTTTATTACATTTTAATTACATGGGAAGATAATTGTTATTTAAAATAATGTTTTGATATGAATTCGGTATCAAATGATTAATTAATGATGATTACATGCATTTTTCAACAAATTTGATTTTTAAAAGGCTTCTATAAACCGTTCATCATGATTTTATACATTTGTTGAATGATTAAATCATATGAAAATTTAATGAAATTTAATTCACTTCACAATTATGATATATATTGTTGTCTTCAGCTTTCTTGATAAATAAATATTGCATTTCTGCTAATTGAATTATTGCAGGCATTAAGCTGGATGGTTTCACTTGCAAACCATTAAGCAAAGTTGGCGAAGCAGACTTCTTCTTCTCAGGCCTTGCCTCTCCGGCCTCCACCATCAACACCGTGGGCTCTGCCGTCACTCCCGCTGACGTCCGGCAGATTCCAGGCCTCAACACTCTATCCATCTCAATGTCTCGTGTCGACATCGCCCCCGGCGGCCTCAACCCTCCCCACATCCATCCCCGCGCCACCGAGATTCTTTTCATCATCGACGGTGAACTCATCCTCGGCTTCTTAACCACATCAAATAAGCTCATTACTAAGAATGTGTCTAAAGGTGAGACCTTTGTGTTCCCCCAAGGGCTCCTCCACTTTGAATTCAATAATGCTGGCTCGCCGGCAGCTGCGATATCGGCTTTCGACAGCCAGCTTCCGGGAACGCAGTACGTGGCGGCGACACTGTTTGGAGCGGTGCCGGCTGTGCCGGAGGATGTGCTGGCGGCTGCATTCAGGATGGAGTCTGAGTTGGTGGAGAAGATAAAAGCTGGGCTCTCACGCCCAATAATTAATTGAGAACTGAAAACAAGCTGTTCTGGGTGATTGGAGGATGTTGTTTTAGGACTTGGAAACTGATGATTTTGCAATGTGATTTTTTTTTTGAAATATTTACATACATACCGCATAATTTTTATTGATTAGTTTATAATGTTTTTGTGTTATAAAATTATGATGAAAAGATTAGCTATTGTGATATATTGAACCAATAATAGGGCATTCATTATGATGCTTAACCATTTTTTTTTATCCTACTAAATTTTATAACTTATAGCAATATGTAGAGTTTATAATTTATATATAACACATGACTTCAGTGTAGATTATATTTTGAATGGTTTGTGATATCGTTTAGGACTTCTATAATGAGTTTAGGAAGGGGATATTTTTAGTGGGGATGTAGATGTGGAATAGCATGTGAATGATAATATGCAAATTTGATGGCTTTTGGATAAGAATTGGCATCGATCGGTAGTTGTCCTGCCCAAAAATAGCAAATAGAATCATGAAACGGTGTGATACGGATGTTGAGGAGGTTCATCACTTGTTACAACATAAGCTGCAATACACTAATTGTAAGGAAAATGTTATGACAATCCTTAGCGTAGAAATTAGAGATATATGCTCTAAATCACATAAACAAAGCTAAAAATTCTAGAAATAGCAAAAACCCATTCAGAAATAAGTCCATAATAATAAGAACACTATTAAGAATAACAAAATATGAAAAAAAATCTGAAAAAGAAAAAAAGAAGGAAAAAAAATTGTTGAAATCTCAAACCGGGCACCCTCATCTTCCATGATTGCATGATTTTGATTCCATGATACATGAAGCTCATGTCACATCATTCTTCTTAACAAGGAGAGATTTCTTCTTATTAGAACCTCGATCTCATTATTAGAAGTTCTTTCCCACAAAATATATCAGGCGATATATCTAATATTGCAGTTCACTAGTGTTTGCCCTTCTATCAATGAGTGCGTTGTTGAACTGATCTGAAACTTAATACACAACTTACTCCAATATTTTTTTTAGTAATAGCTCAACATTTTTTTTTTCCTCCTTGAAATAATGATATGTTGGACCCCTTTCAATTATGGTTGTTCTGGGATTGGTATCAACTCATCAAACTCATCACCCTTTTAGATCACCAATGCAAGTCTTGTAGATGCTTCTCATTAGGATTGCAGAAAGATCATTCATGGCACCACGACCTCAAACTCTGTATCAACGTCCATCACCTCAAATTCCTTCAAAGAAAAGGGTGCAATGTGCTTCCCATCTTTGGTAAAAAGAATATATGTCTTGTGGCCATCATGGTGTGTGCAATGATCATACTACAAACTATGACCTAATATGATATGACATAAAAATATAGGTTCCACATCACACCACACTGGCTCTTGAAACTTGCTCCTTTAGAAAGTTCCACGAAACATCTCCTTACAACATTGATCTTACTCCTTTTTTTCAATCAAGTCAGATAATATGGTTGAGAATACTTTAGAGTATTGAGACTCAATTTGTTCACCAACTGTGTCAATGACACATGTTCACTTCATTTGTGGTTGCACGTCTTTTCTTGCACATTAAAATTGATATGAAAAATGTTATGGTGGAACCACTGTTGCTCTCTTGTGGGCACAATTCAAGGGACCCATCAGATTACTAACATCTCTCACTCAACGACTAGAAGTTGATACTATTCATTTGCATCTTCACATTATTCAATGTCTCATGTGTCAATGTCGATATTTTCCATTGCTTCTTGCTTTGCGAATGAGATCATTTCCTTTTTGAGCACTATGATGAAATGAGCCAAAAAATGTGGCACTTCAAGTAATTCATGTTGTGATATATTTGGAATTACTGGTGGGCTTCATACTTTTTGCACTTTGGATTGGTTTCTCCTCGAGGGGTCAACTTGGGTGATCCATTGAGTCAACTCATACTACCTGATCGGATGGGTTGAAGAGTGGTGTGAACTGTAGATTATTGTGTTATCTCTCCACCTTCATGGCTATGGTTTGGATAACCTGTAATGTCCAATAAGATTGGATTTGCACCACACTATTAATAGACCATCTTAGTCCTCTTAGATGTTGAGTTATGTTTCATTGAGCTCCAGTAGCTCACACTTTAACATAAGCTGCTCGAACTCAGCAGTGTACTCATCTACTAATAGAACCTGTTATTATAAGTGGTGAAATGTTAAGAACATATTATTCCCGTAATATGTTGGTAGGTGCTTGCGCTATATCTTTCTTTTCATCTTGGACCAAATAGTAATTTTGTTTTTTCCCTCCTGCAGGCGCAGGCTTTTTAAATTTTTCTACTATAGAGATGCACTCTTCTTTAACATAATGATGGCTAGCATTACCCTAGTGTTAGATAGAGCATTTTTGTACTCAAAGACACGTTCCACTATCAATAACAACCCAATAAACTTGTCTGGATACAAGTAATTGTCAAAATATGGTAAATCAACCTTAACTCCAAAATGTTGGTTTCTCTTATGATATTCAAGACTAAATCACTGAGATATTGATTCTTCATCACTTGTTGGAAGGGATTCAATTCCTTCTCTAAGTCACAATTGTGTTAATTGTTGACCTCTTCAGATTGTCTCCTCTTAAATGCAACAAGACATTATTGAAGATGGAGGATTTCTCACTATATTTCCTTCATAACGATCTCCTAAATATCTCATTTATCATTTATCTTTAGTGACATGGTGTCATTTTCTGCAGATTGGAGTTTTGAATAATATAAAATTGCAATTCAAAAGTTGATTAATAGCGTAAGTTTTGATGATAGAAAAGTTATATTTAGTGAGGTTAGAAAGTAATTAGTGAAATTGCAAACTGGGCAACCCCCTTCTCTTGCGATCGCATATTTTTGATTTCGTGATATGCAGAATCCTATAACACAGAACTTCCGCTCTCATATAAATTTGTTCACATCACCACATCACTACAAAATATTATAAAAATTCTATTATTATTTGCTTTGAAATGAATATGATATAGCATTAATCAATCAAGTCT